CAGCAGGCTGGCAGGAACAGCAAGACAAACACCACATCTCAGCTTTGTTTTTTCTGGCTGTTGAACTATTCTGAGCTACAATGTCACAAAGCAAGTTAGCTTTGTGCTCTGCAGAGGAAACATCTGTGGAATCCCAGTTCTTTGTTCCGCCAGTGATTAGCATTTACTACTACTACAGCCTGACTGTTCCAAACACTCCTTTAAGCTGCCAAGGCAGAAACCCACCATGAGGACTATCAAAAGTTGCAGAGATTCACTCAGTCAGCTATATCACTCCAGGCAGCTGACTGGGATTTTATGAAAGCAGAACATGTGAGGCTACTGGACAGGTTTATAAACACAGAACATCAACACTGAAATCTCCCCAGGATGTTAAACAACATTAGCGTAATCTGGAGACAAACAAGAGCATCCACAGACTCTCCAAGCTGGAAGGGTGAATTCATCATTGGCACTTTGGAGAAACTTGTGATGGCAATGCATATGTGGCAGAGGAACACAAAAGGCTTAAAAAGCAAGTTAGTTTCTAGACACTACCTGCTTAAAAAGCAAGTAGAGAGCTATTTATAACTTTTATTTTGCCAGCAAGCTTTTGTACTGACAAAGACATCTAAAATTAAAAACATAGTACCGAATGCTTACTTGCACTTCTCTATGGGATGAAGTTGGGTGAGAGGTCCTGCTGTCCCATGGATTTCTTGCTGCCTGCGAATGTTCCTTGTTGGTTTTGCTGCACTGGTCACATAAGCCATTTTTACTTGCCTGCCTGATACAGAAGCAAGGAGCAGAGGATACGTGGCTTCTTTTGCCCTTTACGTTCAAAGTTCAGTTGATAATATAGTTGTGTGACAACTTCTAGGTTTAAATTTGGGAAAAACTAATTCAGTAAAGCAGAATCTGGTACCAAAGTAGTAACTGAACCATGGCAAATCATATATAGACTGCATGAAGTATTTCTTCATTTTAACATTGGTATTTGTAATTACATTTGTAATCTTTGCATTGTTGCTTAGAATCCACATTCTAACCTGTAAGGTAAGATTGTCTACTGCATGCTACAAGTATTATGCATTAATGTACTGTGTTAATGCATGTATATTTTTCAAGCAACTTGTAAGTTAAAAGGAACAATGTCCTTTCTTGATGTCTTCTCCTAGAGGGACAGCAAATCACTAACCTCTACATATAAAGCATCAAGAATAGCAGAAGAAACTGACTTTTGTAAGTGGAAAAGCTAACCATGGATTTTACCTTTTGGTTTCTCAGACTGAGCTGAAAGAATATTTTTTGTCAGTGTCTTCAGTTTTTCTTCTCTCTGATTAGACAATCTCAAGTACATTTCACGCCAAGACTCATATTCCAGGAGGCTCTCATTTTTAAAATCTCTCTGGCAGTGTTTCTTCCACAAGTGGTCACACTCTTCTGTAAACGTCTAATTTGAACACAAGATATCTCAAGTCAAAGATTTAAAAATAACATTTTTCAAGAGTACCCATTAGCTGAGCCTGTAGACAAATCCCAATCCCCTGGTGGAGAAAGATGCAGAACACATGCTGTCACAGGTACCCCCAAGATGGAGCGTGGCAACACCATGCTGAGATATTGACTTCAGTCTAGAAATCACATAGCTTCATGTAACAGAGCTCTGTATTTGAGTTAGTGAGTTATGCTTACAGGCTACACTTGTGTTTCCAGCACAGGCTCAGGCCACACTAGCTCTGAACTTAAACCATACAGAAAAATGGCTAACCTGCACTATGAAGTGATACACGCTCTATGTCCAAATGCACTACAGAGCTGAAGTCCTAATGGTGTAGATAAGAAATCTACCACACACAAAGTCTCACCCCAGATACTTCCGAATTGGCATGCTTTGCAGCCTTAACAGTTTAACTTGAAAACAGTTGGTTCTGTAACAGCTTTCCCAGCTACATCAGCAGTAAATACCGAACACTTTCTCCTTATTTTTGGAAACAAAAACATTTTTCTACCCACGCTGGCTTTCACTTACTCAAGAGTAATAATTCTCCAAAATGCTTTAAATCCTAACACTTGAGAAGAGATGGCTTGATAATGACAGCTAAATACGAAGAAATAAGTATTCAAGATAGAAAACCAGTGTAACCCATGGAGAAACCATCACAAAGGGCACAAGGAAGGCAGAAACAGATGCCTCATGTCCTCCATGATCCCCTGAATTTAACAAGGCAGAAATTACCGGATTACATTCCTCTATTCGAAGCAACTGCTCTGGTGTGCAACGTGTTAGCACAGGCTCAAGAATTTCAAAGGGCACACCTCCTACTTCATGCAGTGCTACAAAAGAGGACAGTAGTTTTAGTATCTCATTTATTTTACTCAGTAGGTGACACCACTCAAACACTTTAAAAGTAAGAATACAAGTTAATTTTAGCAAGCACTGACAGAACACATGTTTTGAAGTCAGGCTATGAAAACACTTATAAATCAGCAGTTCCGTACTGACTGGCATTGTATTCAAGGATGGAGAAAGCATCTTTGAATAGCTATTGCCCTGTCTTTACCAATGTGCATCACTGCTCTCTGCCTACATAAGGGAACAAACAATTTCTTGATTACTCATTCTAATTTATGTAAACAAACATCTTGGAGGGGGGGAAAAAAATCAGCAGGCTTTCTGGCTTATAATTCATAGGACATTATATTTTAACTACAAATTGGAACTTTAAGAAAGGTTCAAAAAGAACCTTTTAAGAAAGCTTTCAAAACAAAGGTTCATTTTAGCATGGCTGTAAATCCACTTTTTTAAAGTGCCTTTCAACCTGCTCCATATCACCATTTACAGGGAGAGGCAGTATCTTTTACTAGGCCAGTTGCTGGTATGGAGAAATAAGAAGAAATCTGACACACTTTCAGGCACAGCCTGCTACAAATCCTTAAAAGTACTCACAATCAATATTATTTTGAAGCACACGGATGCACTGTTCATACAGCGTAAGCATCTTTGAAAGACAGACTGGTTTAGAGCCAGAGTAAACTTGCATTTTAGAGTTCAGTCTCCGTCCTGTGAATTGAACTGTTTCACTGACTTGCTGGGGTGCTTCTACAACAGGTGCTACAGAAGCTGCAAACAAAACATCAGGCAGGGGTTCCTTTATCTCCTGACATTTTAAAATACTTTAAACATTTAACTTTGAGAGAAACACAACTGGCAGGATACACATATATTCATTTTTCTTGAATACAAAAGTTACTGCAGTACAGTTTTGAGGCCCTTACATGTATTATTACATGTTACAGAAGTCTAACACCAAAACAGCATGTACGTTGAGTGAGCTGCATTAACCCAAACCAGCCTTACATTATTTAGGTCAGGTCTACATGAGCTGTATTGATATCTAGATTACTGTTACCAGTCAACAGCACATTACTGATCTCCCCAACCTATCCTACAGAACCCAGAAGCTGCAGTAGCAGCAATGTTTCAAGACCAGAGTGATACAAAACCATTGAAACCTCACAAGAACTGCTGGGGGAACCACTGGCACTTTGTGTCACTAACCTATAGAGGTCTTAGCAAGTCCTCATGCTGAAGCTAGACCTAGTGCTTCCTATATTTGTTTTATCTAAGGTAGTATCTACTAAGGCTTTGCCTGCTGTAAGGTATGGACAGGAGTAAAGATAAATGGTGCCTGTAGACCTCCCACCTGATTTATGCCTTCTCTACATCTGTGATAACCTACCACACTATTTCTTTATTCAGCAAGCCATAAGAGAAAAACCTTTATAACTCCCTTCAGTTTCTAAGAGAAAAACCTTTATAACTCCCTTCAGTTTCTAAGAGAAAAACCTTTATAACTCCCTTCAGTTTCTAAGAGAAAAACCTTTATAACTCCCTTCAGTTTCAACACGATTTCTACAGTTGAGAAATTGAAGGTGAGGCATTTCTTTGCCATGGACAGATGATCTATTATAGTTTAATTAGGAAATGGGATAAAAACATCTCTACAGAGCTGTAAAAACCTGCACTATTTCACATTTATCAGCCTTGCATATACTACTTACCTTTAAAGTCTGCAGCATATGGCGGAGAGGAGATTGAGATGCCTGTCAGAAATTTAGGCAGTGGAGTATTAAGAAGATCTTGGAGGGATGCCACCTTGGCCTGTGCATAGACAAGGGAACATTGCTTCAGTATTACAAATTTGGGTTTACTGAGGCTTAAAATTAGCTACTACTACCGGGAAAAAAAAAAAAAGAAAAAAAAAAAAGCCCTTAAGCAAATCCTGAAGCTAACTATGAGATAACTAGAACAACTGCTTTTCTGCATTAAAATTTAGTCACTGGATTACTTTTCAGCATACCCTTTCACATTCTTACTTACCAAGACTACATCACAAAAGGATCTTAAGGGGATATTTGCAATTAGTGCATAAAAAAGGATTAAAGAACAGAGAAGATACGTTCAGCTAACAGGGTTTCAGATAAATCATGGAGGTTAGAGGCATGCAGTGAATAAGACAAAACCACAATTAAACGTTTAAAAGCCAACTAAGTCTCCTATATTGCACTGAATAAACTTTTTAGCCTATTTGTTTTCCACAGATAACCCCTTAAAAAGGAATTTAAAGATGTTGCAGTCTGGCAACTACAGGTCCCTACAAATGCTTGGCACCATATGAACATCTAAATTGGGTCTTAGGTGAACTCCAATTGTAAGGTAGGCACAGCCCAAAACTTGTATCACCCTGAACTTCATCCCAGTATCTTTAATAACTTTTCACAACTGCTTGAACATCCAAGATTTTTCCTCAGTTTATGCTAGAGTATCATACACAAGCCTTTACATTAATATTTCTCTAGTTGGACAGAAGAAACCACATTCAGACTGCAGATCTGCCACAGTAAGTAAAGCCTGGAGCTTTCACATCACAGTAGAGATGAAGTCTAAGGAGCCCTCTAATTCCCAGTGCACAAAAGGGCTTCATTTAAAAGGTCTAATTAATACACATTTAGATCTACCTTGGCTCAGAGGAGCTATTTAAGCCTCATCTCCCTCAAGGACTAAGATATTTCAGTTTACAAACATATAAGCTATTTTTATATGCAGTACTGTTATTTACTTCAATGCATTGAAAGAAAGTTCAGTTCTACCACATACCTTAACATTCACTATTAAAGAACCACAGCATCTGAGAAAATGATTGTGCTATACACAAACAACTGCCATAGTCACAAACCAGGCTGGTCAAGAATGAAGAAGGGGCTATCTTTCCAAAAGTAAGCACCTTTACTTCGCAGGTAAACAGCAGATTAGCTTATAGATATCAAAGACCATTGCCATATTGGAACTAATTTTAAAAAAAATACAAGATGAATCAATTGCAAACTGCCAGTATGCAATAAATCAGAGGGGTGGGGGAGGAAGGGGGGTGCCCCAATTATTAGCAACTGCAATGCAATCATTATGTCAGAGCCAGGCAAGCTGTTGCCGAAAATGAATGCAGCTGAATTTCATTGAAAACGAGTCCAAAGCACTTACTCATCTGCAGTTTATTTGCTATTATCTCAACCATGCAGTGGTTTACCTTTTTATTGGGAGTTTCTGATCGATCATCCTCACATTTTTTTATACCTTCCTCTCCCTCTTTCACATGAGAAAAGTTTGAAGTCTTTTGTAGTAACGAGCTGTCTTTCTCTTCAGAGCACTTCTTTGGCTGTGCACCTGTAAAATAAGCCTTCCTCTTTCTTTTCTTTGTAACCTGATCATAATTAAGGTAAGATTCAAAAGACATAGTAGGGGGCTCAAATTCCTCATCACTAGATAACTTGTCTTTGCTTTTTATTAGAAGTTTTTGGTTTAGTTTCTTCATATGCTTAGGATTCCTCTTTTTGGAAGCATTCCTTCTAGGCTTTTCCTTCAGCTGTGGTAAGTCTTTACCGGCTACAGGGGAATTATGCTCTTCTGAAAAATTCTTGCTCTCTGTAGAGGTTCTCTCTTTGAAGTCGCTTTCTTTAGCTTGAGGACTGGTACCCTGGGAAACATGCTCAGAACCACTGTTACTATGTTCTTTATTATCACATTCTTTTTGAGACTCAGAATCTCTACTTTGGTGGATCTTTCCACTACAAGTACGGTGCTTATTCAACTTTTTAGAATTGGGAGCACTATCGGAACTTCTGGAGGCCAGTACTGATGCTTTGGACTTCCCTGGAGGCGCAACAACCTCGGAAATAGAAGATTTCGTCTCATCTTTTTCAGTATTTTGTTTTCTTTCTCTGTGAGTGCTGCAACATTTAAAAAAAAAAAAAAAAAAAAACCAAAACAACAAATCACATTCCACACTACATCTGATGCTAAATTCTTGAACAATGAATCTTTTTACCTATATCAGTAAAACTAGAAGCATTAAAATCACACGTGTCATAATTTTAGAAGCCCCAGAACTGTGCTCTGCTGTGCTCTTATTCTTCCATTATCAGTACAGAACCCCAAAGAAGCAGCTCCTGGGTCCAGCACTACTAATACTATAACAAGAATTGACAGCAAGACAAGTGGGGGGTATGACCATAAATGTCAGTAGGAACACATGCCCAACATGCTTACAGCGTATTGGATACCACCTTTTACACAAGCTTCCCTGTATGCTTTATAACACAGACATAGTACTTGAAATAATTAAGAGACAGAATTTACAACATACTCTGTAGCTGATACAGACTACAACAGGTCAGCCTGCTTATCAGAGTTTCTGGTATTCCACTTTGCCATTGTTTGAACCACTTTAGATTTAAAATGCACTATTTAATCTAAACCTCTGGCTTTCTCAGCTCAAAATGTCAGAGGTCTCAAACTGTCTGAAGTACAGTCAGCCTGGACATGGTGGTGGTGGCTGCTTTATTCTGAAGAAGTCACACTTCTTCAGTGTGACTCCTCCAGTATTGGAAGCGTCTCTCAGCCCACAAGAGCATTATAGGAAAGCCTTCCATAAAGCCAAATCAGAAGCTGCCCCATATTAACCGTCACCTCTGGGAAGAAAGAGCAATCTTCCTACTTCCCTGAAGAACAGTGCTCACCATTGGCTTAGTCCCGCTTCCATGAGCAGGACTAAGAACTTGCGTCAGTCAAAAGAGGCAGCTGAAGTGTGAGTGCTGGTTGGCTAATTGACCGATACTGGTTACTCTGATTTGTGTGCTGATATTTTATAAAAGAAAAACTCATTTCTTCCACTCAATTTATTCATTAGTCCTAATGCTTATTTGCCATTCCAAACACTTTCCTAAGCTTTCCGAAGTTGTATTTTATAAAGTTACACTACAGTATAATTAACTTTCAGAAAAAAGTTAGCTCACCTACCTTGTCTTTTCAGAAGGAATAAGTTTCTTCCATTGTTTTACCAGGGTTTTAGCTATATTCCCAGCAGTGGCATGTTTCCTAAAACTGTTAACTGTTTTGCCTATGCCAGTTTCCTGTTGAAGATAGCGCAAGAAAGATGGGCAGAATAAATCACAAACAACATCCCAAATAAAAATCTCTAAAACCATTACAAACAGTATCAGCCTAGTAGTCAGCGCAGTCTTACAGCAGCTAAAAAAAAAAAAAAAAAAAACAAACACACTTTTTATACCACAAACAGAACTGTAGGCAGATATTTATAACCAAATATGGGGAATAAAATGCAGTCTTAATTCATAAAACTAAGAAGTTGTTTTCCTCCATTAAATGTATTTATTTCAGTAATTTCACTTGTCTCAAATACTTATGCCCACAAAATCCATACTGCTCCAGTGCATTAGATTAATCAATTCAAATTCCCCTTAAGCTTACGCAGCTACATTTTAGCATGTTGGAGAGCACGTATGATGGACATATTGTAATCTAAAATGCATCTCAACCACAACAGTAGTACAGCAGTTAGGGAAGCAGAGTTCATATGGACTAAACTCCATCTCAGTTTCAGCCACAGGGGAAGTAAAAAAAGGACATTTAAAACCTGTCATTTTCTGGTTTTCCCAGTACAATTATTTTCACATTACTGTTTACCCTATTTATGTTCTTCAAATGCATCAGAAATATGTGGAGTTCCCAGCTGCGAGACATCTCTTTCCTCTATTTGACTTGAAGGCTTTCAAAGTCTGTCACATTATAAAACACGCAAGTTTACTGGGAACGCAAGTTGTCTGGCGAAGCCCTTTGTTATTTTAAACAACTAATAGCAATTTTGTTTTCCAATTCAAAAAAAAAAAAAAAATCAACACATTTTTCTTCTTCCCAGAATTCAGACACTTTGCTCATAATAACTCAAAGTGTCATAGACCAGTGTGAGAATTTCTAATACAACATTTGATAGGATGCGTCTTGGATAAGGATACAAGTCACAGGTATCTTTACTTGGGATGCCTGCTCTTTAAATGAAAGAAATTAACTTTGAACTGCTAATAAAAGACAAGATTTAGACAACTGACCTAGAGAATAGTTTACATATTTGCTTTGATTTACACATTGACTTGAAACGAGTTTTATAGTGAGAAGAAACCAACTCTGAGTAGTAAAGTACTCTCTATATGCTCAGATTCTTTCTCAGTACTATCACTGTTGGCATAATACTGCATTTGTCAAGCCATATACCCAGCTTCCACCTCATTTTTGGAAGAGATTCCATGATTCCCTATAGAGACATCTAAACAATTCACGATTAAGAGTCAAAATTACAAAATGCAACATGTTCACCGCTTCTATGATTGCAGACCTCTGACATTCACACCGTAATTCAGCATGGAAGAGTAATGTATTATTGGTCACTTACCACTAGAATATCCAGCGATATATCCAAATTCTGTAGTACCTCAAGTGTTTTTATAATCTGGAAGAAAGCATCAAATTCATAAATTCTATTTTTCTCATTCCGATTCACACATTTAATCCAAACACGCTCAATAGTGTTAAGAGGAATATCCAGCAACTCCAGGAAAATGTAAGTACTCCTTTACTGCACAGCAGGGCTGTGTCTGAAGTCTGGGCTGTGAACCAGGACAGTTCTGACAACCCCCCAGTTTCAGTAACACCAGAAAATCCAGTAGGTATGAATTTACCACAGAGATTATATTAAAGATCAGTAATACAACAGTACACCTGTAGAACAGGCTACCTACATATGCTCACACTCCTTGTGAAGCAGTGACCCTTATTTGCCACAGAAGCAATAGAAAAGCTGCATTATGCAGAACCACCATGCAAAACTCAGGACGTCTCCCACTTAGCAGCACCAGCCCAGGCCAACAAAGGCCTATAGAGCTGGTGGGAGCCCAGTTGGTGAAAAATACAAAAAATAAGGTTTTAAAAGCTTAACTGCAATTTGTACATTAAAAAGACAAGCTCAAGCTACAACAGCTGTTTTGTTTCACTCTTATAAAGTATACACCTACTACAAAGCTCAGTGTTTTCCATCAAAGCAGGAAAAACCTTTTCAAACACAAAATGCTTGTATTCCTACAAGAAGTGTTTTAATAAACACAAACATCTCATTTATAAGCACAGTATAAGTTTATTTGGCAATATATCAGTTTCTTGGGCAATGGGTATACAGCACCCCCAGAGTCTTGCAGCTGACCACACACAAGCAACCTGCCTTATCTTTCACAGTCTTCCATGAAGCTATGTTATGTAGATGACAGAATTAATGTACAACTGAACTAACAGCATTTCATAGGGCTTTCAAAGCATAAAGTTTTTCAGATCATTGCCTCTTAAATGCAATGGCAAGAACTTGCAGTAATTCAAAACAGACTACCCAGAAACTTTTAACTACAGTAACAGCTATGCTAACTTAAATAACCAATGAATTGTCATTTATGATATCAGATTTTGATTCCAAAATGGTGCTGCAGGAAGGCAGAAGAGGTACTAAAATAAGTGAGTAGCAAACTTGAAGAAGCAATTTACAAATTGCACTGAGAGATACCTCTCTCTACTGCTGTTCTAAGTTCCATTGTTCCTATAATGCATTAGTAGTGGAAACCCACACTTGACACTGAATTTCACTGCGTACAGTGTGCTCTATCTACATTCCTGATGTGCAGTTCTTACTGCAAATCATCCCCCTTGCAACAGTGTTTGAGACCTAGAGAAGTACACGATAAATGCTTCACAGCCCAGGAAAGTGCAAGAAAAGCTGTCATGGTAAGTCATACTCCTAGACCAGAAGTACAAAATCAACTCTCTCCCAATAAGTTAAGTACAAAATGGCAGGATACCTACAAAAAAACTTGCTGTGCAAAATTTCAGAACCAGTACAAAAGCCATGTGAAGTTCTGCTTATCTCCTATTTAAGATTAAGACAGTCTCTGGGCCAGCAAATTGTGTTTAAGACAACATGTAATGAAGTTAAAACCAATTCTGCATCACAAGAGAACTACTCTTCCTTCTGAGAAGAATACAAGCTTAACATTTAACTTGCTTCCAGACGCTTCACAGGTATAGGCTACACGTATAATGCGCTTAAGACTTCTTCGAAATAGTCCCCCAAGGGAAAAAAATGTGTTGCAAAGATGCTCAAGTGGAAAAAAATACAGTAATTGCTTGCAATGGTAATCACAAGCATTAGAAACTATGTTACCGGTGCCAAGTTAGGTTGCTTGGGGTTTGGGGTTTTTTTTTTAATCATTTAATTTAAAAATATATCCTCATTTATTTAATTCATTTTGCAGTAACCCATTGCTGACTGGTTATATTGTGCTATACAGGGCGACTGAAACAGTGCAAACAACTGGGAATAAATCTCATAAGCCAGAGACAAACCCACACATGGAAAAATACTAGAATATCCCCCCCGCCCCCTCCTCCCTCCATTAAGCTACAGAGAGCACAGCGGTTTTGACTGTTTCCTTTTGATGGGCTTTGGACTCTATGTTAATAAGCAGAACTCATTTCGGAAGAACAGATTCAGAAAGAAGGCAATTTCTATTCATATAACTTCAAACCACCAGGCTAAATTACAAAAGCACCTAGACGACAAGCATGTCCAAAAGCAGTCAACACATTTTAATGAAAGACAAAGCTTTCAATGTTTTCTAAGCCAAAGACTGCACTGTTCGTTTTGCTTTCTTGAAATGTGTTTCACATTTGGCAAATTAAGACGCACAAAAGGGTTTCATTAAGATTAAAATTGATAAAACATCCTGACAAGCCTTTTAGAAGTGTCCTGATCTCCTAAAAGTGGGGAACAGCTCAAGCTGCAGCAAGATCAGCAGCTATGTATGCACAGAACCAGCGAACGAAAGAGAGCTCCATTTGCCTTGTACTGTAACTTGGCAATGTAAATGGCAGCATCCAGCCTCCCAGTAGGCATCAAACCTCTCCAAGCTTCTGGCACTTAAAACCAAACATATTTACAACCACAGTCAGCAAATTTAATTTGTGTAGAACATCCGTACAACAGAGAAACTTTGTATATTTATCCTATTTGCTAAAGAGTTCTCATTTATTTATCAGACTAAGCAGGGATGTTTGCTTTTTAAAGCAAAACCACCAAGCTCCAGTATCTATCAGACTTCAGTGAAGGCCACAGAAACATACTGTGATGCATAAGACAACGTAAAGGCTGTTACTGAAACTAAAGCTTGTTAGAAACAAGTTTTGATATCATTATATTTCTATGGTAGAACATTACAATTATTGAGTGATGGGGCTTTGAGCAACGTGGTCTAGTAGAAGGTAACCCTGCCCATGGCATGGGGATTGAACTAGATGATCTTTAAAGTAGCTTCCATGCAAACCATTCTATGATTCTATGAAAATAAGGCAAAAAGAGAAAGTAATTTATCTTAAGTCTGTTCTGAGCAGGCCTTCAAAAACAAAATGAAGATTGACCATAGCTTTTACTATAGCATTTGTAAGCCCATCTGGCTCTTAGCTCACTGGACTGTACCCAGTAACTTCTTTCCTCCAAGTTCTTCATATATACACAACACACACATAACCCTCCACACTAGGTAAGCTTTATTTAAAAAAAAACAAACATACAAGTTTCCTCTATATACAATTTCTGAACTATTCTATGTAATTCCTAAATACTGATTTAAATACTAAAGAATGATCCAAAGCCTCTAGGATTGTTGTTTTTCCAATAAACAGCGTTCTAAGTAAGCCCAAGACACCGATCTTCATACAACAGACAGACAACAGAAGCAGAGCCTTGTGGACAAGCAGAGAGCCGGCACACTCATACTGCTCTTGAGACAAAAGCAAAGGTGACAACAGGAGCAAGGGAAAGCTAAAGATGAAGGGGAGGAGGGAAAGCAGGCAGGCATGTGGAAAAGAGAGGGCAATGGTAATGAGCAATGGGCAAGCAGCATGTGAGTAAACCAACTTTCAAGAGCCAAAACTGAAAGCAATGATAACAGCAGATCTCAGCTGTGCCAAGTTTGATCTTTTCCCACTGCACCAGTGTTGCGCCATCAACCCTTATACAAGCGTTGTACACTCTCTTAATTTTCTAGCCAAGTGTCCTGGGTTCAGCTGTAACAGTTATTTTTCTCCTTAGTAGCTGGTGCAGTGCTGAGCCTGGACACTCAGAAAGGATGGGACCAATTAACAGACCCCCAGGCCTTCTGTGGTCAAGGGACTGGCTCAACATTTCACTCCAGTAGCTTTTTCCTGCTTCCCCTCCTTCCCTCCTTGCCCACTAGCTGCATTTCTCTCTCTCTAAGGAATCCCTATGATTATTAGCTCATGCTGATCTGCAACATAGCCCATGCAATTTCACCAAGTCCATAACTTCTGGCTGACCTAGACACCTTGTTTGAAAGAGCACCAAGACTCTGAAGACAACCCACCAGGGAAATCAGCACATTCCCAAGTCATTGCTCTGCCCTCTATCAAAAAAAAACCCCACCAAAACACACCACCACAACTGTTCACCTAAAAAATGTGTCTAGTTTTGTTTTCAGCTGCTGACTCTAATGATTTTTTTTCTGCTAATGAAATGTTTCTTTCAAACATCTTATACAACACAAATGTAAACACTAATCACACACTTTACCTTGCTTTTTCAGTTTCAGCAAGTTATGCTAGTCAGAGCTACGGCCATTCTCTGGCTGTCTATCTTTCCAGCTTGGCAGTGTTTTTAAAACCAGTCCCCAGAACAGGACATAATATTCCTGCAATTGTCCCTCTAATGCTATATAGCAGTAATAACATAACCCTGCTAAGCTACCCAAAGATAGCATTTACTTCATAAGCCACTGCATTGTACTGCAATTTCATGCTCAACCGGTAATACATCAGAGCTCCAAATCATTTTCTGAGTCAATGCTTTCCAAAATACAGTCTCCTATCCTGACTGACCTACATTCATAGCTCCTAGCTGCAACTTTCCACTGAGCCATGTTAAAATGCATGCTGCTCAAATGAATGTAGTCTAGCACATGATGAAGGTTGGTTTCTGGAAGGGTCTCTCTCCATTCACCACAAATTACTTCAGTATTTGTAGCATCTCCCTACCACACTTGCTGTCTTCTATATTAAGACAGATTTGAGTAGCAGCATGCCCAGAACAGCTGCATAATCAGCCCCCACTCCAAAAAAGCCCACATCAAAACCCACAAATCAACACTATTTTTTTTATGAGGTCTGGCACTTATTTTTGGTGAGGGGAATTGAAATCCATTTTATATATTACATCAGGTCCATAACACTGCTACTGTAATCAGCATCATACAGAAGCAAGTCAAATGCCTTAAGAGATTTGCATACATTTATGACAGCTAGTGTCAGTTGAATATAATTTGAGATAAATTCGGCAGGACTTATCTACATAAAGCCTCATTAAGTGGCATGGATCATGGCACCATCCTTTAATTCTGT